AGAAGCCCTTCAGTGCCACCTGTTGGTCACAAACAGAACCAGACATCTTCAATCATGCCAGAGTAAAGAATAAAAAAAAAAAAAAATCAACAAAACAAAAACACAGAAAAAAAAGACAAAAAAAAATGTGATGAAACAATTTCTGGAGAAATTGCATGTGAATGCCATATGTGCCTTAAGGATTCACACAACAATAGCACAAGAGCGGCATCAGAAATTGTTTCCAATCGCTGCCCTTTGTTATTTTGCTTGAAAACTGAAGGACCAGAATTTGCTTTGTGTACACAGTACAACAAATACGCTGCTCGTGCGACTCCCCCACTGGGCCTCCAAGAAGCTTTTTCACCTAAAAATACAACATGTTTCACAAAGAGTCTCAATTCCCTTGGCAAATGAGGGACCGGAGTAGGTGATTGTTGTTTGTTCCTCCTTCCCGCCAACGACAAACCCCTTCTAAAATGCTGCCACATCCCCCGAATGCCATCAACATAGTGTCGGTAAAATACATTCCTCATTGTTCAGGCATCTGATTGCGTAGCACAATCCTTTTTGGAGAGGTGTTTCTTCCTGTATTTTCCCTTTTAGTGTAATAGACTGAAGGCCTAAAGCACCCTGATGACAAAAAAAATGCTTACCTGCCAAATTAAAGCTACCACTGTGGAGGAGAAGCAACGTTGCGAGGTGCAGTGGAACAGTCTCATCTCCTCCAGTGCTTCGGTACTGTAGACCAGGCAGGGGTTTAGTCGTCATTAAAAGTTCACTTAAAGTGCCCTTTTAGAAACTTTCCCCTCAGATGCCCCAGTGCCACTTTCACACTGAATGGAAATGTGCTTTCATTCCGTTCCCGTAACTTCAATGTCGGACTTTACATGTCGGGAAAATACAAGTGTGCAGTCTGTCTGCATGCTTACAAACAAGCCTCCCTTCCTTGTGGTTTCGCATTAAACCTCGATCTGGCTTGTGTTTCTATCATGGGGGCGTGTAGGCGGGATTGTGACAGCTACGTCAACTCGGTAAAATAATTAGCTTACCGTGGAACCAATTAACAAAACACAACTTGTCATTTTAACAAGTGTCCAAAGTAGGTTGTGAGGGTTTTATTCTGTTCCCAATGTCTCATATAGTAGTCGTCTGAAGTTTGTCCTCCCTTTTCCGAGCTCTAAACAGCTGACTAAGAGTCCTTCCTCGTAGAGTATGCTCACACTGCATGAGTGACCGCGTGTGAGTGGAGAAAACGACAGGTGAAACTGCTGGCCAGCTGCATTTTGTTCTCCATCTGTAGCATTCTGTCGAGTACAAAGTGTCGGCACGTGAGTCAGCCTATGTACAGTCGTTGGCTGGCAGCGGGCCCTTGGTGAAGTTGTCCTCTTAGCCACAATTGTGGAATACATTTTTACGTTGGCACTGAGGCATGACGGGTGTCGAAGCATGTTCACACTCACCGTATTTTCCGCACTAAAAGGCGCACCTAAAAGTTTAGTATTTTCTCAAAAGCCGACGGTGCGCCTTATAATCCGATACGCCTTATATATGGATCAATATTCAGATTTCTTGGATGGAGTATTTTAAATGTTCTGTAAAGTGCTTTATTCCAGCTGTGAAAACGCAATATGAATAAAGCTGTAGTGTATCGAATTGTATTGTATTGTATTCCCTTTAGCGTACCTCCATCGAGTGGATGCATTACGCAACCCCAGACACAAACAAGGATCTATGAAAATACAGCTCTGTGTTGGATGCTCTTGATGTACATTACCATTTGAAAGTGAAATTTGGTGCCGCTCTGCCGCAATGTATATCAGACTCAAACGTGTCACTCATGCTCCATTTTGACTTTCACGGGATTTTTGGTTGCATCAAGTGACAGCAGGTAGAAGTAGATAGTGCCGCACTTTGCACGGACGTGTGTTACATACAAAAAGAGGGAGCTGAGCTTTGGCGGGCTCTGGCCCAAGTTAGCCCTTACGATGCCTCTCAGAGAGTCCATGTTTCGTGATTGGCTTAGAGTATTGGTGGGGAGACGTTCAATAAGCCCTCCAGTCACTATGCAAAAAAGTCCCCCAATGTTGTCTTTTCCCCATGCATGCAAGGAGGGTGATTGGTCCAAACCAGGAAAATGCAAAGATGGGAGTGCTCATTGATATGCTTTTGAGCTACTCACACAGGTCTCAGAGGTAAATGGATTTTACAGTGTTGTTGCAGTATGCACACAATGGAGATGACAGGATTATAGATTGACACAGAACAAAGGAATAAGGGAGTGTGTGTGTGTGTGTGTGTGTGTGTGTGTGTGTGTGTGTGTGTGTGTGTGTGTGTGTGTGTGTGTGTGAGAGGTGGGGTAATATCATAACCGAGTCAAATTCAATCTCAAGGTGCCCTTTGGAGACTCAACCCGAACCTAACATTCTTTTAAGATCATGCAATTATTCTCTTTGATGAAATTACAGAGCTGTGGGTCTTCAAATAACATTTATATCAGTGAGCTCAATCTTTTTTTTTTTTTCTATTTGAGAGAGGGTGTTCGGTCTCACGCCGATGTTAATGTCACAAGATAAGTCAAATGCCTCTTTTTGGTCCTTGTTGTTGCACTTTACACAGTTGAGGCACAATTTTCAGACATTTGGCAAATTGTGGCAATCCCCCGAACTCTTATTGAGGTTAGTTTAAAGATGAGAATTATTACTTTTTTTTCTAAACATTTTCCATAAAAAAGTAATGACAAAAATGACAACTTGTTTGATAAGAAAATGCTTCATGTTATA